ACTTTAAATGGTGTTGTACAGTTTTGTATATTATTTTACATATGTCTGCCACAGTAAAATCACTCTTTGTACTCTTTCACTTAGTACAGTAAAATTCTGTTTACATAAAAGATCTGAGACCAAGATAATGACAAAAGATTTTCAGGAAAGAAAAGTTATTTTTCCCCAAGGCATGTGTGAAAAAGCAAGGAACATGCCAATATTCTTGTTTTATTAACAAAGTCTAAGAAATTTAAAATTATAGTGAAGCTGTAATGAACTTATTTTTTGAAAAAGGAAATAAAACATTTATTATTATTATAACCATACTCAATGATGTAAAAGAAAATATGCTCATAATGAACAAAAAGATAGGAAGTAAAAAAAAAAAAAAAAAAAAAAATACAGGCTGAGCTGAAAGAAATTTAGGATGAGAACATGTTCCTTCTCATTGCAGAGCAGCAGTTGCTGGAGGATGGGGCCCAGGCCTGCTTTACCTGGAAGGTGGCTCACAGGGCCCTGCTCTCCAGGGTTTGGGAAAGGTCTCTGGGCAAGAATAAAGTCATTGAGTTGGAAAGAAACACTTACACCCAAGGAATTTGTATTTTGGAAGGCTTTTGGATTGTTCTAACCTCTCCTAAGGGAAGTTTTGACAACTGTGTGTTCTTAGAATTCCTCTTCACAAAAAGGTCGCTAGGTCTGACAACTGTGTGCTTAGAATTCCTCTTCACAAAAAGGTTGCTAGGTCAGTGCTTTTATTTATTTATTTAACAGTCACTTTTATTTTGTAAGGTGCTCTAGTGGCATAGTGCCTAAGGCATCTAACTGCTAACCAGAAGGCAGGCAGTTCAAATCCCCCAGCCACTCCTCAGAAGGAAGACTGGGTAATCAACTTCCTGTAGAGACACTGCCTCAGAAACCCAAGGAGGGGTCGCTATAAGTTGAATAGATTGGATGGCAGTGAGTTTGGAGATTTCTGGTTTTTATTTTGTAAGTTCATTTTTATGCCAAAACATTACACTGAAAAGAGTTAATTTTACTGAAGTGCCCTCTTAAGTGACCTAAAGACAACACTCTGAGCCAGCATTGTTCACACTTACATTCAGATGCAACTAAGTTATAAAATCTACGTCACTACTTTAGGTACTCCAAAGGAAGATGGAGCAATCTACTTCCATAGTGATACCACCTCAGAAACCCAAGAGGGGTCGCTATGAGTCAGGCCGACTCAACGGCACATGACAACTTTAAGTACAATGTTGCTATTTCAAGTAGTGAGATTTGTAGTCAGGATGAGTTCCTTTTAAGTATATTGATCATCTAAAACAACTGTGTACACAAAACAAATGGAAGAAAAATCTGACAGCACTTTAAAAGTCATACTAAAGAGCAGCCTCCCACAGGATGAAAGCGGCGAGGCAGAGAGGAAGAAAGGAATGACAGAAACCTTAAATCTGTTTACTTCTTAACATTTAGAATTTAATATAACACACTCT